CAAATCTTTTTCTCCACTTTATCTTTCCTTAAATAAGGCTTTTCAAAGATAATTACAAAAAAATATGATTATAAACAAAAAGGATTACAGTAAATATATAAAAAGTGGATTAGTAAAATTATCTAAGAGCTAAAAATTAATCACTATATACGATCATACATAAAATGCAAGAAACTTCTTTTATAAAGTTCCATGCCGGGCAAAGTAGCTTACTTTTGAGCTTTCGCTTGAAGCTTAAAACATCTTTGCTTAGTTTTAATTCATTGTCCAATGTGTTCCACATCTTCACTGTTCTGTAATAGTGTTGTTATAGTTATTGTTGTATTGTTATAGTTAGTGTTGTTATAGTTATTATTTTAGTCCTATGCCAAGTAAGTTTCTATCCACAGTCTGCAAATTTGATGTCCACAATAATCACCGAGCAATTGTCTCTGACAGCTGTCATAATTGGCAAATCTTTAAATGAACTCCTTTTACTGGTCTAGAATACATTGCTATGTCTAAATCCAATGACGACTAGTACAGTTGAATATGTCTTGCCAGTATTTTTCCATTTAATCATTTTGACGATGATATTGATTTCTTCGTTACATTGTATGATTTCAATTTGCAAGGCAATTTTGATGCTGAATTTTTTAAACAGAAGAGGTTTAATCCCTTTTTTGATGACCCTAAAACGTCTCATTTGTTAATGAATTTCAACTCCGATTCAGACACTAACTTTTTCGCACCAAATTCACAATTACTTTCAATCTGCCTTTATTTAACCTGTGCGGAATTAAATAAAATGCTCTCACTTCCTTCTGATATATTCTTCTCCTTTCATATTAATATCCGTAGCCTACCACTTTGATGACTTATCAGAATTTCTTCCTTTATTAAACAGGTCTTTCTCAGTTATTTCTGTTTCTAAAACCTGGTTACATAGGTCTAATTCTGATCTATTCCATTTGTCTGGCTACCATTCTATTTCTAGTCACAGAGAACATAAAGCCGATGGAGGTGTTGGTCTTTATATTCAGCCTCGCCTAAAAACTTAAGCTAAGAACTGATCTCTAGTCTTCTGATAATGCACTGTGTGAATCAGTCCTTGTGCTCTTTGTTGGCTGTTTCTATTGACCCCCTGATGCCTCGGTTGTTGATTTTAACAATTCTTTCAAAGGCATCTTATCATCCATCAGCTTTGAGAATGAGCTATCTTATCTCATGGGTGATTTTAATATCAATATATATCCGTAGCTCTCAATCCCACCAACCTTCTAATGAGTTCATCAATCTTATGTGTCTTATAGTCTATATTCTTTGATTTCTAAGCCAACTCGCATAACTTCCTCAACTGCAACTCTGATTGATAACATTTTCGCAATCAATCTTGAACATAGTATGTACAGTGGCATTCTCTAAACTGATTTATCTGATCATCTCCCAATTTTCCAAGTTACTCATCTAAAATCAGATGCTGAATCACACTATGCCAAAAGAGATGGACACGCCTCATTAACTCCACAACAATTGCGGCATTCAGGTCTAGATTGGAAACCACTGATTGATCCCTAATCTATAACGCTGACTCTACTAATACATTCTATAGTCTTCTTATTTCAGCATATCATAAGTCATTTCCGCTTAAACCTGTATACCAAGGAATCCTGGTGTTCTTCAAAACCCTAGTTTTGAAAAGGTCTTTTTATATCCTGTAACAGGAAGAATTATCTTTATAAACAATTCCATGCGAACCCCTACTGAATTCAACACTTTGCTAACATAGGACGTTCTTTGGCTCGTAAAGTTCCCTCTTATCAATTCACTCTTTCTAAATCCTACTTCTCCTGCTGAGGTTGTTTCTACTGTCCATTCTCTAAAAAGTAGCAAATGTGAGGGTGTTGATGGTCTTTCTGTCTCCCATCAAAGAAATAATTGATGTACTAGCTGCTGCTTTCTTTCGTATCTGTAATATGTCATTTGAGCATGGCGTCTTTCCTGATAAACTCAAATTTGCAAAGATTCTTACATTTTTTTAAATGATGACCCTTCTTTGTTCTCAAACTATCGGCCTATTTGTAGTCTTCCCTGTCTTTCTAAGGTCTTAGAGAAACGTTTTTACCTCAGGCTATCGGGATTTCTCACAAAGTTTAATATCTTCAGTCATCATCAGTATGGCCTTAGACCACATCACTCTACTGCTATGGCTATCTTAGCACTTGTCAACCATTGCACTGTCGGAAAGCAGTTGATGAAGTCAACCATGAAATACTTCTGGATAAAATAAACTTTTATGGCATTAAAGGTATCCCGGTAACATGGCTTACTAGCTATTTGTCTCACAGACAGCATTGTGTCATAGTTCATGACCATACCTCTGCAAATAATACGGTTGTATGTGGGTTTCCTCAAGGTTCAGTTCACCTCTACTGTTTCTTTTATACATCAATGATATTTTTTTATATCTCAAACCTCTTGTCAACCATTCTCTTTGCTGATGATCAAATATCTTTCTTCGTCATAATGACTTGGCTACCTTAGCAACTATTCTTAATGTAGAGCCCTCTCTTGTTTCTTCTTGGTTTTATAGTTTAATCAAGTCTCTTGTCACCAATTTGTATACCTTGTGGGACTATACTAGGTGTATTAGTATTTGTATGGTTCATAGGAATATATTATCGAGTGTTTGTAAATTTAGTAGCCATAGTTGTTAAGTATATACTAGTATTGTATTACTATACTAGTTGTATTTGTATTTGTATGGTTTATTGGAATGTATATTATCAAGTGTTTCTAAATTTAGTAGTGATGGTTGTTAAGCATTGTATTTCAGTTGTAAGTTCTCTGACCGCCTTTTCTTTCTTTTGATTAGTATTGTAATTACTTTAGTTAAAGCTTTCTTTTATTCATGTAACTGCTTCACATTTTTTTCTGCTGACCTTAGAACATTTAAGCCCCTGGCTTTGGTTGTTCTCATGTATTTTTCTCGAGTGTGTGATATGTAATAAAGTTAAGTTAAGTTAGATTACACTACCGAGGTGTGGGTTCGTTTCGTCCCCTTAAGGGTCAAGAAGACAAGGCCAAAGGCATTATGTCACCGCCAAATGAAGACAAGGCCAACGGCATTAAGTCACCGCCAAATGAAGACAAGGTCAACGGCTTAACGTCACCACCAAATGACGCAATCATCTAAACTGAGCCAAGATCTTATACAGCAGGGGTGATCTTGCCATTTTGTCTCAGACCCTAGTTGTTCGTCCAGCCAGTGTTTGAGTCCTTGACTTTCCCGCAGACCGGCGCTTATCCAACTGAGCAATGCAACAGTCTGTTATGTTTTATATTTAGCTCTTTTAGGTTTTTTGATTGACAAATCATTTATGGATAGAAGTTCATTTGCTTGACTGAGTGCAAACTTGACCAGCATCACACTTACACTTAATGACACTTACACTTAATGAAGTTCAAGTTCAAGTTTATTAAAACACTTTGGATACGTATCATAATTGATCCTTGCTCGCAAAATAGCCCAGCTGATCGAGGCGGGAAAGAAAAGTACAAAACAAAATTAAGATAATAGGGTTGAAACATAACAATAAAGAAAAAGAGATGCATGAAAATTAACAAGACAGTGAATACATGTATTTGAAAATAGGTGAATAAAACAAGGTATGAATGAAATTTGCCATACGCTTTGCCTGTGGTTCGCTTCTGGACTTCACCTCTGATCCTGAACGGGCCAAATAAGTCAACTGCCGCACAATTCCATGCGGGTGCTGGCTTAAGCCTTTCTTGGGGAAGCCGTCCCATCAGTTGCGTGGTAGTTATCTTGTTCACCTTCTTGCAAGTTACACAGCTGTATCTAATTGACATAGGTTACTGTGCGTCCGCCTACTACAATTATCCCATCCTCTCGAACTCTTGGACACAAGCGTCTGAACCGTTCACGTTTCATCTCACTTGTCATAGGTTCGTGGGGTTGCAGAATCCAAAATCGCTCCGCTTTGGCTACTTCCGCCGGCTCAAGGACTCTGGCCGTATTTCTGAAGCTCGGTTTATAATCGGTTCGGAACAACTACTCTAGCCGTTACTCTTACCAGCCTTGTATAATCCAAATATCTACTTATGTCAATCTTGACTGCTGGGGAGTCTTTGGGTTTGGTGTTAGGTATCATTACGACCTTAGGCTCCTGTGGAAGCCCTGTAAGGTACACACCCTATCAATTGGCCACTTAGACTCTGGCAACTTCAAGAAAACTGGACCCTTCTGCCACGCGATGTTTATCTCGATTTCGTTTGGTTTCCTACCTTGAGTGAGCCAGTCGGCTATGTTCTGCTCGCTTGCTACGCAGCACCAGTCTTTGGGATCAGTACCGCTTTGAATCTCTCCAATACGTGTAACAGCAAACGTGTTAAAGCCATAAGATTCCTTTTGGACCATAGCGTGTACTGTCTGTGAGTCAACAACGTGCAAGCACCTGGTAAATTGATATCTCGACTCTCTCTCTCTCTCTAGAAGTTCTTTAAGTCGCTTGCTCAGCACTGTTCCGCACAACTCAATCCGTTTAATGGGTATTTTCTTAACTGGCGCAAGTCGGTTCCTAGAGATGACTTATCTGCTTTCAAACCCCCCACCAATCAGTGCCCATCGGACGTACGCACACGCACTGTCACTGAAGATCACCACCATTAGGTCGCCAACTTGATGTTATTAATGCCAAATAAATCTGAAAAGAATGTATTCCACTCTGCTCTGCATTCGTCTGACACACTGGATTGTCCCAATCCAGACGCTCCGGTCCACACACCCATTGCTTTCTCTTCATGATTTTTGCTCTAACGGTGAATGGACCTGCCAATCCAAGTGGATCATAGATGCTGTTGATCTGGGAGAGAATCATTCACTTTGTCAACTTCGCAGAAACCTCTCCATTAGTTGATTGGGTTCTATGTCTGGTTCAGTATGCAGCTTCCTCTTTCGTCCAGAGAAATTCAACGCCACCTTGAAGAAAAAGTGATCCTCAACGGGTCTCCAACAGACTGATGGTGCAGATGATGATGCAGCCTTTAATCTTGAATCCTCCTATGTCGACCAGCTTCTCTATGTTCTGTGTTACGCTTTCGGCCCTCTTCCTAGCACCAACACCCTGATCATGTCGTCCATGTAGGTGTTTTCTTTAATCAATAATGGTTTTGGCTTCTTGAGGGTACTTCTCTTGTGCCATTTCGGCCGTTTTTCTCAATGCTACTGTGGCGTTGGTTCCCGACGGTCTATCACCAATTGAGAACCACTGTATGACGCAAGTGTCTAGTTCTTTCCTGTCGTCCCGATGCGTGTACTGTTCGAGCTGGGTGGTTTCCACGGAATGGTACATTTTCTTTTATGTCGCCGATCAGCGTCACCTCATGTTCTCTAAATCTTATCAGCACACCCAGAAGGCTGTTCACTAGCTCCAGTCCCTTGGCTCAATATTCATTTAACGTGTGACCCATGTATTTGGCACTACTGTTGAGGACTATTCTCACTGGTGTAGACTTTGAATCCGGATTCGCTACTTCATGATGTGAAACATAATAGGTGGGCCAGTCATTGGTTTCTAATTCGCTCTCTGTTGGCTTTCGGGCGAACAGCGCCTGTCTATCATATCTTGTATCTGCTCTTGATATACTGGTGCATGGTCAGTATTCCTGGCAAGCCCTCTGTGGACAATAGCATTCCGAACGCGGCCATTCTATTGTCTGGAAGATCAGCCGGGTCTCTTGTCCATGAATATGGAGTCATCCATCTACGTTCAAGGCTATTGAACTTCATTTTCCGCGTTTACAACCCCCACAGCGACGTGTATACTCCACCCCGAAGTTGTCAATATTATAGAAGTCTTCAATCTTTACTTCAGCTATGCGGTGTACGAGAGCATTCTCATCGCGTGATTTGCATCCTTTAAGTCCGCGTGAGCGCCGCCGAGACATCGTCCGAATCGGTTTCTCAACAGTAAATGACCTGACCTCTGTTCCTGCATGTGGCGGTATCCGGCGTATCCATTTCCTATTAGTACGTCCACACTACCTGTGTTGGTCTTCTGATCTCTTCGAGTGTAACATCCTTAAAAAGATGACCAACGTTATTGACGCTCACACTTTGAATGTCCGCCGTTTTTACTTTCATACCATAAACCTCGAACTGTACGACTTGCCCCTGAGAGTCAATCAGCGGGAAAAGGTACCAGTTAATTGTTTCACTCATGCCTCCAACTTTGACTATAGATATTTCTACTTTCGTGCCATCTAACATCTCTACTTTAGCCTTGCTGTTGGTGATAAAACTTGATGATGCTGCATTGTCCCACATAACGTTGGGCCAGCCTCTTCTTGTTCTATTTCTTTGATGTAGAAGAGGACATGTGTTGCTCAAAGGAACGCTGCAAGAACTTGCTGTTACAGAAACGCTGGCTTCCCGACGATGCCCAGTCTTCAAAAAGGACCAACATGCACCCTTCTCTTTAAGCATGTTTATTCTGGCTGGCTTTCAAATTTCACGTCCTCCACTCTTTGGGGAGAAGTTTGTGTCCCCCTCCATACCAGGATCTGTTTGACTTAAAAATTTCGCAACTTTGAGGACCAGTACCATGACCCTCAAACTTTACAAGGCGACTAATTTTACGGCACCTTATCCAGCAGCATTACTATATTTTGCTAATTGGTCCACTTAAAAAATTGAAAACCCGTAGAAGATCTATTGTTCTACCTCACTTAATGAAAAATGATGTTTTAGGAGAGGTGTCTATAAGAACATGAGTGAGTTGGTTTAGAATGCAAAGGTTTGTGTTCTATGTATAACTAACTAATTACCGGTACTTTTACTAGGACTCAGAAAGTTGTGTTGAAAACAAGTTCTTCTTCTCCAGTGAAACTCCAGCTAACTATTGAGGGAAATCACTCAGACTTTCAGGTTTGCATTGTTATTCTAATATTCTTAACATTACCTTGTTAAGACCAGGCCTTAGTCGTTTAAAAGGTGGATAAAGTTATCCACTGGATAAAACTCTATCCACTAGGTTAAGCAATTAGTTTCCCTAATACCTAGTACTCACTGGCTATTCAATGTTTGAACAACTGGGACCAGGTAAATCTGAAGGTCATCTTATACACCAAAATGTAACTACCGTAATCGTTGGCTCAAAGCTGTTATAACTGATTCCCTCTCAACTTAAACAACATCACTTACTCTTTGGTTAATAATGATTATTGTTTAATTTTGGCAGATTCAACCAACATTTAGCTCTCATAGTGGAAGTCCAGAGCGCCATCAATCTACTCTTGAACCTAAGGTCTGTTAATGGACTGTTTATGATACAAAGGGTCTATTTTTTTTTCTGTTAGAAGTGAACAAATGCTTCAATTGGTTGTTTTATATCGACAGAAAGAACTTCCGGTGCATGTTAGTTTTTCTCCTTCATCAATGGGACTCATTTCTAGCTCTCTTGTCATCAAGTCACTAACAGGAAGGGCAAGCTCTAAGGTAATTTAGTGTAACATTTTAGCTTTTTTCTTTGATGTTGTAAATCTCTTATATTTTCCTTCTAATGTCTTAAAATGTATGTAGAGTACTCACACTGCCTGCCTCGAATAGCTTTAGCTGAATGTAGGTAGTGTGTATGTTTAATGTATTTTATTGCTTTTAATGAAGTTGTTGTTGTTGTTGTTGAGAAATAGGAGCACTATTTCTAATACAGAAAGATAATTTTTTTTGTCAAACCGTTTAACCATGACTGATACTAATATGAGCGTGAGGTGTTGTCTGTAATGTCTTCTTTTTTTTTTTACTGTTAGATTCCACTTTGTGGCTGTGGGGGTACAAGTCAGTTGGTGTTGGTTGATGTAAGGCAACTCAGTGAGGGATATATCATCAATATTGGAGAGGTAAAGCTAAAAAAAACAACTTAGTTTCTGGGGTGGGGTGAACTATTATGATGATGACTGCGATGACAATATGACTATAGTGGTGTTGGTGTTATTGGTGGTGATGGTGTTGACAGTATTAAGGAGAATGGTTAGGATTCTCAAGGGGATTCTTGCATGCTCCAAATGTCATATCAGCCACGTACCTTTTTTGCCAGTGGTAGGGCATTTTTCTCACTTGCAAATTTGCCGTCATATTAGCTTGTAGAACAGGCGTTATCTTTTCGCGTTTTTTCAGGTGAGCAGAGGAAAGCACGACGTGACCCGTGCACACGCTCCTCGCCCACTTCGCCTGAAAAACGTGAAAAAATAGCGCTTGTTCTGCAGGCTACAATTGTGCCTGTGCATTTCAAGAACTGATTTTCTTTGATATTGTTGTGAAGTACTATTTCCGTCATTGAATGAAATATAATCTACTTAACACAATGTCCTTCATGTTGCATTAGTGCAACAAAGACTATTTTAACGCTTTTCATTTGTAATGTAGTCAGAGTAACTTGTTCTTTTGTAAGAACAAGACATAATTTTCCTGCCATAAAATGTGTAAGTAACTGAGATATTTTTCTGACTCCAGGTTTCACTTGGAGGAAAGAATTCTGTGAAAGTTAGATTGCGAAATTCTGGTACCAGGGCTGCTTTTGTGAAGACTGTGTGCTACTCAGGTACCGATGATTTTTTTTTGGAATTTTGTTTCTTTTCATTTATTTTTAGTTTACCGAGTCAGATGATCTTAATCTATCTTAGGTCATTATGGGAAGAAATTTGTTGTTTTACCATCTGTAGCTTTGTGTCCAGTTTAGTGACTGTAACCATTTGAGAAGCAGCTCCTCTCTTGAACTGACAGTGACAAAACATATGCCTAACAAGGATTTTAAGTGAACAATAATTTTCTATACCTTTGGTGAGCCCGTTTGCACAGAGCGAATCACATTTTTATCCCTGGGGGCAAAAATGTGCCTGCTGACAGTGAAGTTATGTGTGAAAACAAATGTATGTTATAGGTTCATGACAGTCTTACTTATTATAATAGTTTTTAACTCTTCCTCGTAGATGTCCATTCACTTCAACAGTATCCATCCACACATTTGACTGTGCATCCAAACAACTTTATCCTTTCTGAGAGAACATCAAAGGTTGGTTTCATAATTATTATTAGGGAGCTTAAGGTGACTCGACCCAGTTTTTTTTAGGGGGTACCATCCTACTTTGAAGCTCTCTGGTATCCCCACCTTTACTTTTATCGTAAGTCTAACACATAGAATGGATAACATATAGATCAATCTACAATATAACATAAAGTTTTTGGCGATCGGAGTAAATGTCACGTGGTTATAATTCCACGCCCCTTTGAGGTCTGAGTCGAAAATCTGCTGTTGCCGGCATTTTTTCGTGAAAATCTCTCGGCTACACGTAGTGCGCATTAGTGCCTTGCGCTGAACAGAGTTTCACCAAAATCGCATAGACCCAATTCGAGAAATTCAGCGGTTTTCAAATTTAGGTCATAATTTATGCGAAAATGATAAGCAAACTTTACACGGATTATATCTAATAAACTATGAGATTCATCTCTGTATTTTGGGCATCATTATAACAGATGGGTCCTTGCAAGTCAGCAAAACGCTTTAGGGCCTTGTAAATGCGGGCGATTTCGAGCAAAGCAAACATATAGAAATTATAGTTTTCGCTTTTTGTTGACGTTTGTCAGCGTTTAAGAGTCAATCTCACGAAAAAAGCATTTTCTTAAAAATTCGTAGTTTTTTTTCCTTCAAATTTTTTTAGGGCAACAATTGATTAACTAACTACCCGGACTCTGAATTTCATGGTCATTGAAAAACTGTGACATTACCTTCTATAAGCCCAAACTTGAGTAAACATTGAAGATTTTTAGCGTTTTGGCTGAGTTTGTGCTTTGGGAGTTGTCTATTGTTTCTAGTCTGTCATTATACAGCACTCTTGTTCAGCACGCGTGCAATGACCACGCTTGGCTGACTTCCGAATGCTCACCGATATATGATAATTTAGTATAAGAAAATAGAAGGGATTCCCTTCACGAGTTGGTTTAATTATTGGCTTGCAT